TCGTTCTGCCATCGTGTCCGCTCTCGTTCTTGCCTCTGTTGTCGCCTTAGTTCCGTCTTCGTTTGTCTTTGTATTCGCTCTCGTCTCCCGCCTTCGTCTCGCCTTCGTTTCGCCTTCGGTTCGCCTTCGCTTTCGCTCTCGTTCTCGCATTCGCTCTCGCCTTCGGTTCGCCCTCGTTTCGCCCTCGTTTCCGCGTCGTTCCCGCTTTCGTTCTCGCCTTCGTTTCGCTCTCGTTTCGCTTTGGTTTCCGCTCATGTTATCGCCTTGTTCTCGCCTTCGTTTCCCCTTCGCTTTGCCCTCGTTTCCACCCTTCGTTCTCGCCTTCGTTCTCGCCATCGTTCCGCTTTCGCTTCGCCTTCGTTTCCGCTCTTGGCCTTCGATTCGTTTCGTTTCGCTTGGTCTCGCCTTCGTTCTCGCCTTCGTCTCGCTTTCGTTATGCTGTTGTTTCCGTCCCGTTGTTGAATTGGTGTTCGCCTTCGTTTCGTTTTCGTTTCGCCTTAGCTTCCGTTCTCGTTGTCGCGTTCGTTCTCGCTTTCGGTTCGTCTCCGGTTCTCTTTCGTTCCCGAACTCGTTCACGGCTCTGTTCTCGCCTTCGTTTCGTCTTCGTTAGTCGTTCTCGTTTCCCGCCTTCGTCTCGCCTTCGCTTCGCCTTCGTTTCGCTTTCGCTCTCGTTCTCGCCTTCGCTCTCGCCGTCGTTTCGCCCTCGTTTCGCCCTCGTTTCCGTCTCGTTCCCGCTCTCGTTCTCGCCTTCGTTTCGCTTTCGTTCCGCCTTGGTTTCCGCTAGCACTTCCGCTGACGTTCTCGCCTTGTTCTCGCCTTCGTTTGGCCCTCGTTTCCGTTCTTGTTCCCGCCTTCGTCCTCGACTTCGTTTCGCCCCCCGGTCTGCCCGAACCAAGTGGCCCTTGCCTATCCAAGCCCCCGGGTCTTCCCAAACCAACTGGGTCTTCCCAAACACCAAGCCCTCGGGTCTTCCCAAACCAGGCGGGTGTTCCCAAATTCCGAAACCAACCGGGGCGTCCCAAACCAGAACCCTGGGTCTTCTTAAACCAAGCCCCCGTATGTTCCCAAACCAAACGGGTCTTCCGAAACCAAAACTCCGGGACTTCATAGACCAACCAAGTCTTACCATACCAACAGGGCCTTCCCAAACCAAACGGGTCTTCCCAAACCAACCGGTTCTTCCCAAGCCCAAACCCCAGGTCCTCACAAATTAAGCGTGTCTTCCCAAACCAACCGGGTCTTTCGAAAACAACCGGGTCTTCCCAAACCGAGTCCCCGGGTCTTCACAAACCAAATTGGCCTTCCCAAATCAACCGGGTTTTGCCGAAGCCATGTCCTGAGTCTTTCCAAACCAAGCGGGTCTTCCCAAACCCACTGCGTTCCCGAGCCAAGCTCTGGGTCACCCTAACCGAATGTTCGGTTTGGGACGAACCGTTTGGTTTGAAAAAGAAGCCCCCCATGTGACCCCCCCAGCCACCCCCTCTATGTGATTAGCCATGGGGTGCATGCGGGTTCAACTTGACACAACAGGCGCGGGGGGCGAACTTTGGGCGAACTGTACGATCAGCCCCAAAATTCACATCGTCGCTCTGATCATCATATCACGCATCGCACCACGAGTGACCCTTATTATAAATTCCGTGATGATGTATCAAGGCAAACGCAAGTGTTCGAAGATTCGCTGCGCGTGCGACCAGCAGCTTTTCGATGACGTCTCAATCAAAACGATTGGTCTTGTAGAAAGCACTGTCGCGAACGTGTTAGTTTTACGGAGATGCGTCAAGAGAAACGCTCAATGTTCTCCTCTTCTTCCTATTCCTTGTCTTCACTATCTCCTTCCGCTCTCCCTCCCATTCTTCCTCCCTCCGCGCCCCAGCTGAACCTGTTTATCGCCGTCACTGGTCATCCCCCCGAAAGAGCAAACATGAGTATTCCTACACGACGAGTGTAACCCTACCAAGCATCCTTCTTATAAATATAAGTTGGCAAGCGCGAGCAGTTGACGTCTCTTGAAATCGCCTCCTCATCCTGCTACTCTATTTCCTCGTCGTCCTGCTCATCATCCTGGGTCACCTTATCCTCCCCTTCTTCTCTTAATTATCTTCTTTACTTACATTCCTTCTCTTCTCTGTCTGCTCTTCCTCCGGTTCCCCCTACAGTCCTCACTCCCTCCGTGTCTCAGCTGAACTTGTTTATCGCTGTCGATGACCATCACACCCAAGGAGCAACCTTGAGTACTCCTACACGACGAGTAAAACACCACCATGAGCACTCCTACAAGACGAATTCAAACAAAACAGCAAATAACCCTTTAGTTCTACAAGTAGAATCTGACAGGTCCGAAACTTATTGATTTTTCTTGGAATGTCACTATCTTCCTCCTCCTCCCTCTCCTCGTCGTCCTCCTCATATTTTCTTGTCCTCGTCCTTCGCCTTATACATGTTGTCCCTTCCTCATTTCCTCAGTTTACACCTCCTCCTCCTTGTCTTCGTTTCTATTTCCTCTCCTCCTTCTCCTCCGTCTCATGTTCTTCCTCCCGCATCTCCCCGTACATGGCAATGCACTCCCCCTGATCAAAGTGACCAGTACGTCATGGAACCATAGTGTGTCACAGGTTTCGTACTCTTCCCATACCTCTAGGCAGGCCCCTCAAGAGTGGCCAGTGCATCATTCTACCTTGGTGTGTCTCAGGATTCGTGCTCACCCAACTCCTTCAAACAAGCTCCAGGGGAAGGCATACCCAGGTCGGCTTGGAAATCATTCAAAAATCCATCCAAACATCTCAACATCGATCTGTGGGAAACTGTGTTGATCCTCCAACCACGAACTGTATTATCTCCAGGGTGCGATTCTCACCGGCATAGGGTTAGCCAGCCGCTCACTGCGCAAAACAGCGCACATCTTATTTCTGAGTCCAGCATGGCTCCGCAAATGCTCCAGTGCGCAGAAAGGCATGTCCTCGTGGAGGCGCACGCTCGGCGCGATACCAAACTGCTCGTCTGAGAGACGCAGGAGAGTTCAGAATCGAATCGATAAATCGGATCGGCGATCGAAATCAATCGGATAGGCGGAAATCGGCAGCCGAGTCGGAGACAGTCGGATCAATAGACATCGGCAGGCTAGTAGACCCCATATCGGAATCCGAAATCGAATCGAATCGGATCCATCGACATCGAATCGAATCGAATCGAGACGGAGGAACCGAAATGAGCCCTGGAGACGGTGTTCTGGCCGGGATGGCGGGCCCAGCCAGGTGCTCGCCCTTGAGCCGCCTGCGGACGGCGGGTCGTGGCTCGTCTCGTTTTGGATGCTCATTCTAGGGACATTTTTGGAGACACTCGCTCCACTCGTGCGTCGAAGCTGCGTCGAACGTCCGTCGATTTGAGTCGACCCTGAGTCGACCCTGAGTCGAACCTGAGTCGAACTCGAGTCGAACCAGAATCGAACTCGAGTCAGACCCGGGTCGAATTGGAGTCGAACAGATCCGTTGGGTGGGCCCCCAGAGGGTCCCCCAGATGAGTATCTAACTCGTTGGCTCCTCCTCCTCCTCCGTCTCCTCGGGAGGGGGAGCCCCGCCCGACGCCGGGGCCCAGGGGCCCCCGCGGCAGGCCCTCGGCCCTCGGCCCCGGGGGAGCACCCCGTCGCCGCAGGGCCGCCCCCTCGGCGTTCCTGCTGTTTCGCGGCGCGCAGTCCCGCGTCATGAGGGCGCCTGGTTTGGCGTCGGAGCGCGCCGACTGCACGTGGACGCGGGGCCCGTCCTCGTCGACGCGCCGCTATCCACGTCTGCCTCTCCTCGATAGGCCCCCCCGCCGTCTCAAAGGCCGCCCCCCTCGCGCACGCCCTCTCGTGCGCGCAGCCAGCTTGACGGTCAACCCGTACTATGATAAGGAGGCGCGATAAGGCTGCAAGGGCCTTGGAGGGCCATGTCGACACTTTGCGGGCGGGGCGCGGCCAGCGAAAGCGGCCAAGGGTGGGCCGAAGGGGAGGGATGCAAGCGCAGGGAGCGCGGCAAGGGGCGGCGCCGGAGGCGCCGCCAGGAGTTCCAGCGCAGATCCAATACATCCGCGCGGACCTCCGAACATTGGTGTTCATGTCATTGCTCTTATTCGAGAAGATGGCCACGAGCGACAGATCAGTCTATATGTATAGGTGTAAGGATAAAAGGCGGTTTATTTCCAAAGAGGGGTTATCTATAGCCTAGGCACTTCTAGGAAGGCTTCCTCGAACTCGGTGATCCTACATGTTCGCATCCCTACGCCAACATAGCGATGAAGGGTGGACCCTGTTCAAAAATACGCACGCCCATGGGGCGCTCGTTCTTCATGGGAGCGCCTCCGAAGAAGAGAAGGAACTAGACAGGGACTTGCGATGAGGTTTGGGACGGAGCTTAGGTTTACTCCAGTCCCCCCTCTCCATACCACGAGCGAAAAAACATCACCAACATAATAATCGTGCAAAATGCAAGCCCAGACGGTATGATGCCCGAGCGGCCCAATGTGGCCATAGCCTGTGAACCTGTTGATCGTGCAGCCCAAGAAACAAAGAGCATTTCAAACAAACCTGGATCACGTGCTCCAACGGCAAAATGGTCAAACGGCCACATGGTAGTTTTGAGAAATGGCAGTTCATCAGTAGCCATCTTGCATCTTAGGGCCAGCGGCCTCATGATCCAGAAGCCCAGTGCGCCGAATGGACGATTGGACAGGCATACACACAGGCGCAATGGTCGAGTGGCCCGCCATCAATGCCAAAGTCAACTGGCCCGATTACCTTGAGACGAACACCAACGATGTGGCACAATTGTCATGGCCTGTCCTTCTTCCGATGGTTTCTACGTTTGCAATGTTCAACCCGTGTGAATACCTTCCCTGGACTTCGCACTCGTACTCTTGATCCGTCTGCATCCCTCACGCCTGCCTTGCGTCCACTGCCTGTTTCCCCCGCCTGGCCCACGCTGTGCTCGGCGAGGGCTACAGGCCCCCCAGAGCCGGCCACGGTCCTCCAGCACGGCCAAGGCCCTCAGGCCCTCCAGCCACTCCCCGGAGGGGGCATCTCCGCCTCGGCACGCTCGAGGAGGGAGGAGATGCAGAGGGCCGAGGACCCAGCATGGGAGCTGCTCTTGGACTTTACGCCTCGACCTTCGGAGACCCCTCTGGCGATCCGGACGGACCTCTGGAGGCCTCGCGGGGACCTCGGGGAGCTCAGGCGCTTCGACGTCGTGAGCTGCTCGGTGGCAGAGTCTCCCCAAACTTCGGCCCGCAGGTGGGAGCCGCGTTCGGGTCCCAGCTGGCCACCACACAGCGACCCGGAGGAGCGAGGGGCTGCCCCACGAGATGGAGTCGAGTGCTCTGGGCTCCGACGACACAAGAAGCAGGCGCGATGTCGAATGCTTCGGGAGAGCGGCAGGAGAAGTCGGAGGAGAGGGGTAAGGGGCAGCAGGAGGAGGAGGACGAGAAGGAGGAGCTGAAGCGTGGCGAGGATCAAGGCATCAGGGTGGGAAGGCTCAAAGAGGAGGAGGCCCAGCGTCTCAGAAGAGGAGGAGGGGCCCGAGGGTTTGAGGCAACATGGGCACAAGCAGGAGCAAACAGGAGGGGCGATCGGAGCAGCTGGGCCTTGACGTCTGGGGGCGTCGAGAGAGGAACAGAGGGAGGGAGGACAATCCGCTACAGTCAACCCGTACTATGATAAGGAGGCGCGATAAGGATGCAAGGGCCTTGGAGGGCCATGTCGACACTTTGCGGGTGGGGTGCGGCCAGCGAAAGCGGCCAAGGATGGACCGAAGGGGAGGGATGCAAGGGGTAACCTTGGAAAGTCGCTCACCCTTACTGTGCGGGTTGACTGTAGGCGAGAGTGACCTTCGGTGTGCGGCTTGCCGATCGTTGCGTGCGGTGCGACGGGAACGGCCCGCATGGGCTTGGCCCCCCCCATCCGCGACCCCCGAAAGCCACGCACCCAAGGTCACCTGGGCGAAGGGCCACTCTTCCTCGGCGGCGCGCACAGGGGAGTGGCGCGAGTGGGGGCGCCCTTCCAAGAGGGCGGGGGGGCTATTCAGAACACATGGACCGTCCTAGAATCGCCCGGATGCCTCCAGGAAGGCCTCTCATACGACCGGGGGGGGTCTGAGAAGTCCTCTGCCTTCTTAGAACCGGGCGCACGCTAACAAGGACTGCGGATCCGTGGATCTGGCGCGGGGCGTCAGATCCACGGCTGGGGGAAGCATCCCCCGACACAAACATAAGCCAATGCCGTGCCGTTTAACGTCGGAGCGCGTCGACTGCATGTGGACACGGGGCCCGTCCTCATCGACGTGCCGCAATCCATGTCTGCCTCTCCTCGATGGAAGTCCCCCCGCCTTCTCAGAAGGCCGCCCCCCTCGCGCCACCCCTTCGTGCGCGCAGCCAGCTTTCGCACGCAGCCAAGCGGCTTCGGGATATACGGCAGGGTCGTTTTGGCGGTCCGGAAAAGCGATTTCTGGCAGTCCAGGGCCGTCTTCGGGCGATCTTAGAAGGCCTCCAGCACCCGGGAAGCGCCCCAAGGCCCCCAGCACACCAATTTGTGGTCGAGGTAGCGGACCCGGAAGCGCCCCGGGGCCCCGGCACACCCATGTGTGGTCGAGGTCGCGGCCCCGAGACCTCCGCAGCGGGTGCCCCGCTATATGTATATATGGGAACTCGGAGGGAAGGTTTGTTGCAACATCGATGATGCGCCTTGGGTTCGCACTTGTCCTCCTCCTCCTTCTCCTCCTCCTCCGTCTCCTCCTACTGCTCATTCTCCTTCTCCTGCTCCTGCTCCTCCTCCTCCTCCTCATCATCATCATCAGCATCATCATCATCATCATCATCATCATCATCATCATCATCATCATCATCATCATCATCATCATCATCATCATCATCATCATCATCATCATCATCCTGCTGCCTCCTCATGTTCCGCCTTCTTTTCCCTCCTCCTCCTCCTCCACTTCCTCCTCCTCCTCCTCTTCCAACTCCTCCTCCGTCCATCTTCCCATTCCCGTCCCCCTACCTCTTTTGCTCCCTCTCCGCCTCCCTTAATTATCCCCCCTTGTCGTCCCTTCCTCATTCACCTCCTGCTCCTCCTGTTCCTCCTCCTCTCTCTTCCCTCTTCCCCGCCCCTCCCTTCATCCCTCCTCCCTCCTCGTGCTGGCTGGCCCAATGCTATTCTAGGGCTGCGACCCGTAATGCAATTAAGAAGTGACTGGCGGAAAGAAGTGGGGCTGGCACTTGGGTGCGTGCTGCCCCAAAGTATACAATCCTGGGGCTGCAACCAAAGCAAGACTAAGAAGCCTGGACGCAGCAGTAAGGCTTAGTGGGGCTGGCATTAAAGTATGGGGCGAGCACCAGAAGCGCTGCTGCCCCGTTGTACCACGAGAGCTGGCTGGCAGTTAAGACGTGCGGCTGACAAGAGGCGTGCGCCCATTCAATCCAAGTGCCCCCCAACCCCCAAGTCCCAAGCTGCGAACGTAGCGGAGCAGGTGCTGAAAATGTGTGCTGAGGTTGGAGGTGAGGGGTAACAATAAAGGTGGACTGGGCGCTGCGGGATGGCCTGGAGCAGCTGGCAGAGGGGTATGGGGCAGGCACCATGGGCGCGGCTGCCCCAAGGTAGCACAAAAACTGGCTGGCAGATGAGACGTGCGGCTGGCACGACAAGCGCGCGTCTTCTCAAAGAGTGCAGTCCTGGGGCTGCAACCCTACCTATGTAAGGTGACGAGTCTGTGTAGGGTTGGCACAGTCTGTTTTGGCTGGCCCAGGTGCAATTCCAGAGCTGCTGCCCGTACTGGCAAGTGAGGGTGGCGAAGGAGGAAGGAGAGGTAGAGCTATGAGGCAGGTAGGCAAGGTGGGAGGAGGGGTGCAAATAGAGGTGACTGGACTGGCGCGAGGTACGAGGAGAGATCCTACTCCACATCCTCCTCCTCCTCCTCCTCCACCTCCTCCGCCTTCTCCTCCTCCCTCCTACATTCCTGCTTCTTATAAATAACTCGTCCACGTCGCATCCCGAAGCCAGTCGGAAGCGCAGGCCTGGCGTTTGGCCTGACACTACCTTGCCAATCGCGATCCTGAACCGTAAACATTGGCAATTGTCTCACACATGGATGCCGGGTGGTTGTCAAAATGTGGCTCTCGGCTTAGCGCCGCGCACAGTCGTCTTGAACATTTCACGAATTGAGGGTGGGCGGTTTTCAAAATGTGGCTCTCGCCTGAGCGCCACGCACATTCGTCTTAACAAATTGCAAGGGCTTCACACATTGAGGGCGGGTAATTTTCAAAATGTGGTTATCGCCTTAGCGCCGCGCACATCCGTTCAAACAAATTGCAAGAGCTTAATGGATTGAGGGCGATTCTTTGTCAAAATGCGGTTCTCGCCTCAACACCGCGCACATGCGTTAAAAATATGCGCACGGGTTGTACGGGTTCCCTTGGTTAGCGTACTGGAAACGGCGTTGTGGCACGGATTCAAGATTGTCATGGTGCAACAATTACATTGGTTCGCGGTGGCGAGGTCCCAGGAACGGCGTTCTGGCACGATTCAAGCTCGTCAATCTGCAACTGTCAGGTTGATTCCTGGCGCTTGTCTTCCGAGAATGGTGCTTTGGCACGGTTCAGGATCTTCAAACGGTTGTCTCCCAACGGGGCACTTCCCTCAGTGGGAATGAATCCTTGTAGGGCCCTGTGAAGAGGGAGCCTGGAGGATCCTCATCCTATCTCCGAAGACGACGAGGCGGCGTCTCTTCATGCTCCCGCCACCGCTGTCTGCCAGCACGCCCCTCGTGAGGAAAGGGGCAGCCCTGACCAGACCAAAGACAAGGGGCAGGGGACCTGTCCACCGCCAGAATGTGCCCACTAGGCTAGGCAGCCACATGTGAAGCCTACCCCTGCAGGTCTGATTTTGTTCCCCAAAAACGGCCAAGGTCCAACATCTGAAGGATGTCTAAAGCCAAATGAAACCTAGCGGGGGTACCCGATATGCCAGCGTCGACTGGACCCGCAGGAGTAGGGCTCGCAAGTGGAAATTCGCAGATCCATATCCACCGCTCCTGCGACGTGACTCCGAGACCTCGGGGGAACGGTGGACGTGGATGCTCGCCAGGTTCTGATAGGCAGGAAGGCATCCACACCCACCGCTCCCTTTGGACGGCGAATGTGGAGACCTCGATCCACGATCCTCTTGTGGATGATCCTTCCGTCCAGCCTCATTCGGCGGCGCTGAGCCCCCTGCCTCTCTAGGAGCACCCATCGTGTCGACGATCTCTCGGGAAGGGTGTCGAAGCCGATGGGTCCCATGGGGGGGGGTAGCTCAACCATCCGGCGCTTCGATTTTTCCGATGCGTGGGTCAACCCTTCGACCCATTCCCCAAGGATCGTCCTTCATCCCGAATCGTTTATCACAGTCCAGACGCCCGAAACGGGCCTCCAGAAGCCAAGAATGACGACAGACCAGTCGCCTCGATTTTTCGAAGTGCCGGATGGCAGTTGCCTGGGAAAGCCCGGCTGGCCTGCTCCTTGGTCTGACGAGGGCCCCCCCTTCCCCACTGGAACAGAGCCTCAGCTCCGCCGCGAGCCGATACGCGCCGCGGCTCTGGTGCGCCCGCACGGTCAGCAAGCATCCCACGTCCCTGCTCCGCAGCAGCGCCTGCGGGAGACAACTGTAGATATAGAGATGAGGCGGTGCACCCGGTCGTGTGTTGTGTCACGACGTGTGGAAACCTGGGCCCCCCTTCCTCAACACTGGCCCTCAAACGTGGCCTGCAACATGGCCCTCAAACATGGCCCGAATATCGTGGCAAATCTGGCCGCCACGACGAAGGCACCCCGCACGGAACCGCCTCAAAGAATTGATTGCCGATCCTCGTGGCTGCGCGGGCGTTGATGGATGATGGCGCGCTCTAAAAACGGGGCTTGTTGCCGACACATTACAGAACTCACGGATATATTTGATGTGAATCACGCTCGCACGCATTTGATGTGACACGACGTGCGAACGGCTTGTGTTGCTACGGTGAGAATCAAGAACACGAGTAAAAAACAAGCCGAAGAACTGATATCATGGATTTTTTATTGGGTAACATATTATGTGGTAAAATCAGAGTGAGGGGGCCGAACGGTCATTCACTGTCCCTGGGTGCGTGGCTGAAGTGGAATTCCGCGGTGCGGATTCGCGTTATTGTTGTTGTTGTTGTTGTTGTTGTTGTTGTTGTTGTTGTTGTTGTTGTTGTTGTTGTTGTTGTTGTTTGTTGTTGTTGTTGTTTGTTGTCGTCGTCCCACCCGCCACCCGCCCCGCGACCCACCGGCGACCCACCCCGCGACCCACCCGCGACCCACCCGCGACCCACCCGCGACCCACCCGCGACCCACCCCGCGACCCACCCCGCGACCCACCCGCGACCCACCCGCGACCCACCCCGCGACCCACCCGCGACCCACCCCACGACCCACCCCGCGACCCACCGGCGACCCACCCGCGACTCACCCACCCACCCCGCGACTCACCCGCGACCCACCCGCGACCCACCCGCGACCCACCCGCGACCCACCCGCGACCCACCCCGCGACCCACCCGCGACCCACCCGCGACCCAAACCACGTTCAAGGTACAAACCAACATTTTCGGCGCCTGCGGCGGGCTTTTTTTGCATTCCTTCCAGGTGGAGAGCCCGCGACCCACCCCGCGACCCACCCCGCGACCAACCCGCGACCCAAACCACGTTCAGGGTACAAACCACATTTTTCGGCGCCTGCGGCGGGCATCTTTTGCATTCGTTCTAGTGGAGAGACCGCAGCCCACCCGCGACCACGTTCAGGGTACAAACCACATTTTTCGGCGCCTGCGGCGGGCATCTTGTGCATTCGTTCCTGGTAGAGAACCCGCGGCCCACCAGCGACCCAAACCACGTTCAGTGTACAAACCAAATTTTTCGGCGCCTGCGGCGGGCTGCTTTTGCAGGAGGACGAGGAGGAGGAGGAGGAAGAGGAGGAGGAGGGGGAGGAAGGGGACGACGACGACGACGACGACGACGACGACGACGTCGACGACGACGACAAAAAGGAGGAGGGGGGAGGATCGGGAGGGGGGGAAGAGGGAAGAGGAGGAGGACGACGAGGAGGATCATGACGACAATGGGAGGACGATGATGGAAGGACGAGGGGGGGAGAGGGAGGACGAGGAAGAGGAGGAGGAGGACGAGGTGGAGGAGGAGGACGACCATGACGATGAGGACGAGGACGAGGAAGAGGAGGAGGAGGAGATAACTGGGATAACTCTTCAAGAGGGGGATGCGTCCGTGACGCACCCCCTCAGTGTACTAAACGAGTACACACAATCGTTATAACCCTCTCGCTCCCCCCCTCCTCCTCCCCGCCGCCGTCGGAAGTCCTGGACGTTCGATCCGACGACGGGCAGTGGCGCTCTGCCGCCACCAGCGCCTTGGGGGATGGGCCAGTCCTTGCCAGCCTTGGGGGGGAGACCTCGACTCAGACGGTTCAAATAGTTGCGTCCCGAATTGGTGCGCTTTTCGGGACAGAGGTTGACCAGCTCACGCAAGTGACCCCCGCCCTGGACCACTGTCCCGAATCTGGCACACTTCCAGCACCACGCTAGTCCATTCTGCATAGCTATAGAGTGAGAGCTGTGGACGACTCGATCGCCCACTCTGAGGGTGTGCACACTCGCGGGGGGAACTCTGACGTGATGCCCCTGCTCACTGAGGGCTCGCTGGGCTAAATCTCCTGGGCACAAAAAACGCCTGGAGCCACTCTTCCAAGGAAAAACGGTCTGGGGTCTGGCGGCGCAGCTTGCAGGACCAAAGACCATTCGTGAGACGCTGCATCTGATGGCCAGCTCTGGCCTCGAGCTCCCCCACCCTCGACAGCCCCGACTCCGAACCGAGCGACCCACCGAACTCCCCACGGCCCCCCCGATCTAGTTCAGAGCAGACGTGGGCCAAAATCGCCCCTATCCTATGATGCACCAGGGTGGCTCTGGCATCAGCTACGTTCAGAGCTTCGATGGCACTTCGGATGGGGGCGGCGGCGGCCTCAGCACCTCATTGGGCCAGCTGATCGGCCATCTCGTTTCCCCGAGAAACTTTCAGACCCTGGCCTACGCGCATGTGGGACTCTGCATCCAGGTGCGAAAAAAAACACTTCTTTAGCACAACATGCCCTTCGCCCCTGCTCTGCAGGGCCGCTCTCACCCGAGACCACCGCCGAATAAGCGGGCCCTGCGGAGCGGAGGCGAAGCCTTTACACCATCCTTCAAAGACAAGAGCACAGTCGGACCACAGCTCTATGGGTCCCTTGGTGACCTTAAGGGCCCAAACCAAAGCGGCGAGCTCACTAGCAGGCACTGTTTGGGGTCCATCAATGGCCCCGAACAGCCCGCGGAGGACCCCACGTTCCACGTCCAGCTCCGCCTCGCCCTCCACACGGAAGTACACGCCCCAACCCACACGGCGCACTCGGGCATCGCTGGACGCGGCGGAGCCGTCAAGGAAGCCTACCTGCGCCTGGAGGGGGAAAGTAGAAGACGGGAGGAACTCGAAGGAGGAGTCGAGGTCAGGAGGGGGGAGCCCTACAGCCCAAACCTCTTGGCCTTCTCCAGAGTTCCACTCGGGGGGCGGGGGCGCAGGGTTCCAGGGCGGGGGAACGATCCCCCGTGTCCAGAAGCTTACATTCGCGCCCTCACTCAGATCTTTCAAAGCATGCTCACACAACGACTCGGTTCGGGAAGCCCACTCATGGTCGATGTTGGCATTCGCCTGGCACGCATACAATCTGTGAGCAATCGTGTCTTTTCCAAGCTCGCACCTCGGGCAAACGCCATCGCATTTGTAGCCTGAGGATTTGGCGCGAGCCTTCGTCCAGATGCAAGCCAGAGCGTTCGCATCCAGCGCACCTGCCTCACGATGTCGGTCCTGGCGACGGAGCCGCCGCAGGTTGACCCGCAGCATGTGCATGTCGCCACCCTCATGCAGCCCCTGCCCTGCTGGATGACCGCCAGCCTGCTGCCAGAGGTCGCGCCTGGCGGAGGAGCACAGAGCCTCGTACAACTCGTCGTGGCTGTCCGCAGCATCGCCCATGTGCTTCCACTCGTCCCCCTGGTCATCGAGCCAGTGGTCTGGAGCTCGCGGGGTCCAGCCGAGCTCGCGCAGCATCATGATGAGAGCCCCCATCGGGCCCGTCACGCACCGCCATCTTGAGCGGGGGCGCAGGTATATCAGCCTCTTCAGCATCGCTCGCCAGCCCCGTCGAACTCGTTCTCGCAGCTCTGGATGGGCCTCCCAGAACTGGAACCACTGCTTGACCTGATCCTTGACCACGCTCATCTTGGGATCGTCGTCCTGGTAGTGGAGCAGCAAGACTGAGGCCGTGCATCTGCCACCGACAGTGTGTCCAGCCAAGTCTGCCGCTTGGGCACGCCTGCGCTCCATATCAGACGGCGCCACTCCCAGAACTGGATCAGCATATCGAAACTTCGCCTTGATGTTGGTATTGTGCAACATGACTCCTTTGGATCTGATGCCGCCTCGGCCGACTCGCCTGAACAGGGCTGTACGCGTGGCGCGAGCCTGCGCCGTGGTCATCCTGCTCTTGGTGGTCTTGGTCGCACGCTTGAGTCCCATGGAACAGTCCACCCCAAGGTCCTTGGCCCAGCTGGCGCGCTTGATCTTGATGCCCGTGATCCGCAAGACGTGCCGCTGGACCTTCACCTCATCCTTCACATACGTCATCATCAATAGCGACTTTGGGGGGACTCGGAGTCCCAGGTCCAGCATGCCCTGCACCAGCTCGCATGTGATCGTCTAAGTCTGGTCCAGCACCATCTTTCTTGGACCCTCCACTCGCGCGTGCACATCGTCGACGTACTGCCTGATGTGAGCCAACGGGGCCCTCTCATGAGCCCTCTCCAACAGTCGGCACAGGAAGACTCTTGCACAGTGATTGGCCTTCCCGCAGCCTGGTACGATGGAGCAGTTCGGCACGATGGGCTCGGCGCAAGCCCCTTGGGCCTTGACCGTACGAGGCGACAAGTACGTCAGGCATCAGAGGTACAGCTCCACCGCAGGAAATTGAAGCTCGACCGCCTGGAGAATCAGCTGAGCCAAGTCCATATGAGCATAAAACTTCTCAACATCTGCCAAAAAATTGCTCTGCTCGTTGAGGCCGATGCGTGCCCGAGTCTCGTCCAGGACCATGGTGGGCAGGGCAGCTTGGAGCGCGCTGCTGCCTCTCACCGCCGCATCCCAGTGCGCAGCCCTTTTGTCGCACCACTCCGTCAGGGGGGACTTGGTGAGGCGCCCCCAGATCCTGACGGGCATTGGCAGGAGGCCGATGCCCCTCTCGTTGCCCAGCTCCTGCTTCTCGCCCTTGGGCAACAGCGCGAACCAGTTGTGCAGCAGCTGGTGCGGCCAGGCCAGCCCTCGCTCGATCATGTTGAAGAGCGTGACGAGAGACTCCTGCCCCTGGTCCGAGAGGGCGAGGATGTGTGCAGGCTTCCACTGATCTGGCCCCGTGCCCGTGCCCTTCGGGAAAGACTTGAGTGCCGCCACCAGCTGCTCCCGAGTGTGAAAGGGGCGGTCGGCCAATTCCTCGTGGGCACGGGTCCTCAGCGCACCGAGGGCAGCGCGGACTGCTGGTAGGCGGTGTGGCTGGGAAGTCCACCGCGCTGCCCAGCAAGCCGCTCTGACGTCAGTTGTGCCCTGGACCGTATCGCATATCTCGCCAGTGACGGGGTCGATGCAGGTCTCATCCAGGGCGCGCTGCCCGTTCTTCTTCAGGTAGCGGTGGGCGCCCTTCATGGAGCCCTGCGCGCTCTTGACCGCCCAGCTGCCGATCTCACTCCGCGTCTGCTGCCAAGCCAGGCTGGCGTGGCGTACCGAGCGGGCCTGCACCTTCAGCGCGAAAATCTGCCACTCTGCGAAGTCCGTGCAGGCTCGAATGCGCTCACCCTGGCGAATGGCCTGCTCATCGTCTCTGAATACGCGCCACTTCCCAGTCATATCCTCTGCATGGCCGTCTGGAACTGGACCACAGCTGCCATGCTCTCTGCGGAGCTCGGCCAGTAGGCTATTCACGATGTCCTGAACTCGCTGCCGATAACTCGAGTGACGAAAACGACCAAGCGCCACCAGCTGCTCCTGCACCCTGGCATGCAGGCTCGCCCACCTGCTGTTGAGGGCGTTGGCGCTGGAGTGGCCGAAGGTCGAGTCATTCTTCTGGACCACTGCACGTCTCCACTGATACTTCACTGGTATACCTCGGCGGGCACCCTGTCGCAGCTCAACCCCACAAAGGTCTGCCAGTTGTGCCTCCGCCGCCAGCGACCAGATGCCATATTGCTTCGCGAGGATCTCAGACATATGCGGGGCAGCTCTGCACGCCTCACTCTTCTGCACGTCTGGCTCGGCCTGGGGGAAGGAATAGCCGAGACTCTCGCTGGCCGCATTCACGTACTGGATCCACTCCTGGCCCTCGCACCTCAGAGCCCGCTTGGTGACGTAGTGGTCGTCCAGCAGGTGGTCGTCGTCGTCGTTGAGCAGGTCTCCCTGCTGCAGCGCGTCCAGCTCGTCGCACATCTCGTGGATCTTCGCATGCTTCTCCCTGTCCCGCTGGAACCTCTTGAGGCCCTTGGGCACCCTGGACTCACCCTCGGGAATCACCAAGGGTACTGGAAGCACAGGTACACGGAGGAAGACCGATGCGGGACGAGACCTGATGAGGATGTTGAGGCCAATGTGGGGGCCCCACGGCAAATTCTGCACTGGCAACACCTGGGACAAGAAGGGCCGAAAGCTGTCGGGCACCACAGCATAGTCAATCATGCGTCCTTTTCCTGAAGCGCATGAGACCTCGACCCCCTCTGGGGTCACGACGCGAGCCCGAAGTACGTCCAACCAGCCCGACTTTGCCATCTCAGTAGGCGTGGCGTTGAAGTCTCCCACCAGCAACCATGGCACAGCCAGTGACTTGACGACCCTGGCGATGTTGAGCATCTTCCTGGAATTGGTCCCAACCATTCCGATGGAGCAATCAAGATAGCACACGATGAAGGCGAAGGTAACCCCATGAAACCTCCATAGCACAACTGTCGTATCCCGTAGGGCATCATGAAACACGCTCTTGCCAAGCGAGCCTGCTAGATGGGTGCTTGTGGCGTAGGTGGCCCTTCGGAGCCAGCACGTTCCCCCGTGCGTGCCTCTTTCAGACCTGCCTGTAGCCGTAGCAGCTGTCCATGTCGCCTCGGACCTCCAACCAAAATTGCGAAGGCGCCTCTCCTCACACTGGCATTGCACTTGGGACAAGTGGTGTTCTGCCATCCCCATGAGGTCGTACGGCGCCGACTCTACGAACTTCTTCACATTGGGGCTCCAGCTGGTGACGTTCCCGAAGAAGACCGAGACGCGATCCCGCTGGCCGAATGGTACTCTATCTGCATTGTGGTGGGACGAAATGTCACCCACCCGACGTCTTGCCAGCGCCAGCTGCGGCGGCCGTTGCAGCACCTCCCGAGCTGCCCGAGCGAGCTGCCTCAGCCGCTGCAGCCCTGGCCTTGATGGACGCCGTGCGCTGGATGTACGCCTCCACGTTCTTGACATCAGTGAAATCCTGGTTTGACTCAGCTGGCTTCTCGTCATTGGCCTGCGCCTCGGCGCCAGCTGCAGGGGCCCCAGCAGCAACACCTGCGGCAGTGGCACGACGACGCTTGTGAGTAGCTGTAGCGTCTTGGCCGCATCCTGCGCCTGCTGGCCGATGCTCTGCGCGTTCTTGTACACCTCCTGGGCCCGCTTGGCCCTGGCCAGCGCCGCCTCGTAGGCCGTCTGCTGCTCGGGCGTGAGGAGGGCGATGTCCTCGGGGTCCAGCTCGGGGAAGTTGAGGGACTCGTCGGTAGCAGCCGACTTGCCTCCATCTCCTGCACCCACGGCTGCGCCTCCAGCACCTCTGGCCGCAGATGTCTGGCTAGTGAGGCGGTTGACCTCAGCCTGCGTTTCGGCACGCGCTCTGACGTTCTCTTCCAGCTTGCCGGTGAGCTCCTTCCCTGTCCTGGCGTTGGCCACGACCTGGTTCTTGAGCTTCTCTTGTTGGCACTGAAGACGGCGGAGACACGCTGCATGCTGTTCCAGTAGAACTTCTGGAGCCTTGGGAGGTACGGGTTTGAGCGCGTCCGCCAGCTCGTGGCAGACCATCTCCAGCGCCTTGATGGCGTCCTCCTCCTTGGCGTCCTTAGCAGACCTGTACTTTGGCAGCAGCTGCTCGAGGAGGGTGCTGCCCGTCTCTCCGTTCTCCAGTGCGAAGGTGACTTCCTTCTTGCTGGATGGCTTCGGCCAGGGTGCGTTGCACAATCGACAAGATTCCCAGCCTGGGGTTCCAGCTCTGTTGCAATAAACCCAAGAGCGAGGACAATTGCGGCACACGTGATACGCCTGGCGGCGCTTCCCGTGGGTGGAAGGCGGTCTCGAGCCATCCCTGCTCCTCGCCCTCTCATTGCCGCTGCGCCCCATCAAACTTCGACACTCGACTTTCGCCGCCTGCAGGCGCCCCTCAAGCCGCGGGAGCCCGTAGCGCGCACCTGGTGCGCACCCGAACTCGGTACGCGCGAGTGCCGCGCGGTCGTCGGGCCTCTCCCAAAAAGACCTCGGGCCGCAGCAGGCTTGAGAGGAGGAGGAGGAGGCGGAGGAGGAGGAGGATCAGGAGGAGGAGGAGGAGGAGGGGGAGAAGGAGAGCGCCATCGACAGGGAAGGCGGGGGCCACGAGGTCCGCCGGCTTGACGACGCCCGCGTCGCCCGCGCCCGCCCCCTCACTCTTATCCGCAATTGCGGGGTGCTATATAAAGACAGGGCTGGTGCGGAGGCGAACGCGTCCGACTAGTCCACTCGGCCGTGAGAAGGGCACACGAATGCGACCAATTGCGGACCGAACGACAAACCGGCAGTAACAGCAGCGAATTCAAAAAAACAAGAAAGGTGGGACAACAGAAGTGCGAGAGGCGAGACGCGTGAAGCTTTGGCGAGCTAAAAGGGCAAGCGCACTCCGACGTTACTTCTTAAATCGGCGCCACCATGTCTCTATGCCTGTCACGAACGCACCGTGGACCACGTAAAGAACTGACTTCTTCCTGCGCGCAGAATGGTGCGCGCGCGTACCTCCACCGCCTCGGCTCTGCGTTGTTCGCTCGACCTCTCGAAGCTCCGCTCAGCGGCGCTGACGCCTGCCCTGCGCGCGTCCCCGCTGAGGGCGCGACGCCCCGCTTGGGGCAACGGCTTCGGCACAGTGCTCCGATTCGCGCGCGCCCCCCCCGCAACAAGGAACAAGGTCTGGCGCGCCTGCGCCGGCGCCTGCGATGACAAGGCGACGCCTGCACCCCATGATTTGACAGTGCTCGCGCTGAAAAAAAACATGTGCCTGCGGCGCCTGCGCTAATGGCGCGATTGCGAATGCATGCCTGCGCGCTGGTATTTGACGTGCACGCGGCGCCCGCGCCTGTCCTCTCGCAGCGCCCGCGCGAATTAATCGAGTGCCCCCGCGGAGCCTGCGCTGAGAATTCGATGGCGCAGCGACTCCTGCGCCATATTATTCGACGCGCTTGCAGTGCATGCGCCGAGTCACGCGCGGCACCCGCGCTGGTGGAGCGGCAGCGCCCTGGAAGCGCGCAGTGAATCCCGCCATGACAGGGCGCCACCTGCACCTTATGCTTGGACGCGCCTGCGGCGTCCGCGCCGAGGTCCCGCGCCTTGAGCTCCAGGCTCTGGAAGGAGCGGGGCCGAGTGGCAGTTGGACTGCTCGCCTTCGGCGCGACGTCCCTGGTCTTGAGCAGAGCAGGCAGCGGCCGCTTGGCTCCGGAAAACGTCGACGCCCACGCTCGAGAGGACTTTTCGACGGCCCACCGTTGCGCCCACCGCGCATGCCAAGTCGCGGAACCCCGACAAGGCGCCCCGCTTTCTACCTTTGGAGGACATCCGGTATCTGGATATGAAGAGTCAGGATTGACCCAAAATTGGCCACGGACGGCATCGGTGCGAATGCGAAGCTGACGGCGGCGCCGATGCGTGGTGAATGCGCCGCCCGGGGGGGCGAAGAGGGGGGGGCGACCGTTGCGCGGGGCCGGCGGGGGGGCGGAAGCCTACCAGCTAGGAGGCGCACGCCGCGAGCGAGGCGCGCCTGGCTGCGTTGGCGGCGTCGTCGAGAAAGCTGTTCGTGAGGGGGTCCAGGACATCCTTGGCGCCCGCCGCCTTCTTGGGCTGCCTCCCTGCCTGCGTTCTCCGAGCTGCGTTCAACGCGGCGCCGTTCGGAGACTCGTGCGATCGCGCGAAGGGCAGGGCTGCCAACACCTCGCCCTCCTCGGCGCCCCCCCCCCCGCGGGGCGAGGGGCGAAGAGGGCGACGAGGGGCAGGCGGAGAGGAAGAGCGGGGCAGGGGAGAAGTGGGGCCGAAGAGGGGGGGGCGAACGTGGAGGGGGGGCGGGGTGCGTGTGTGTGTGTGTGTGTGTGCGTGTGTGTGTTGTGTGTGCGGTGCGTGTGCGTGTGGTGTGCGTGTGCGTGTGCGTGCGTGTGCGTTGTGCGTGTGCGTGTGCGTGTGTGCGTGTGCGTGTGTGTGGTGCGTGTGCGTGTGTGTGCGTGTGCGTGTGCGTGTGCGTGTGCGTGTGCGTGTGCGTGTGTGCGTGTGTGTGCGTGTGCGTGTGCGTGTGCGTGTGCGTGTGCGTGGCGTGTGCGTGTGCGTGTGCGTGTGTGTGTGTGTGTGTGTGTTGTGTGTGTGTGCGTGTGTGTGCGTGTGTGTGTGCGTGCGTGTGCGCGCGTGTGCGTGTGGGTGGGGGGGGGGGGGGGGGGGGGGGGCGGCGGAGGGGCAAAATAGAGAACGAGAGATAGAAGGCGAGAGATGATGTGGAGAGAGCGAGAGAGAGAGAGAGAGAGAGAGAGAGAGAACAAAAAAAAAGAAAGAGAGAGCGAGAGAGAGGAAGAGAGATTGAGAGAACAAGCAATACATATATATATATATATATATAGAGAGAGAGAGAGAGAGAGAGAGAGAGAGAGAGAGAGAGAGAGAGAGAGAGAAAGAACAACAAAACAAGAAAAATAAAGAAATAACTTAAGATAGAGAGAGAAAGAGAGAGAGAGAGAGAGAGAGAGAGAGAAAGAGAGCGAGAGAGAGAGAGAGAGAATGAGAGACAGAGGAAAAATATAGAGAGAGAGAGAGAGAGGGGGGGGGAAAGAGAGACAGGGAAATGACAAGGAATACTGTTAGACAGAGGTAGAGAGAAAGACAGAGAGAGAGAGAGAGAGAAAAAACAAAACCAAAAACGGAGGCGAGCGAGGGGAGATAGCGGCGGGGGGGCGGGGGGGGGGAAGGGGGGCCGAGAAGGGGCGCGCAGCGGAGGCGAGGGGGTCAGAGGCGAGGGGCGAAAAGAGGAGGAGGAGCGGGGCGCTCCCGCCCTTCGCGCAACCGCATGCCTCGTACTTCGGGTTCGCGATCAGCGTTTTGACGATGTCAGGCTGCGGCTTGTCGGCGAGCGTGGAGCTCGTGTCGAGCCACTGCGAGCGCGCTGAATCTGCTTCCAGTCTGGCTAACTCGAACCGGGCCAGTACTGAGTCGATGCGCTCGCCTCTTTCGACTTTGATGTCGATGAGGGCTGCCCCCGGGGTGAACTGTCGCTCGTCCTCAAGGCTTTCAAACTTGGTGCTTAGTAGGTACATGATGAATATGACTTCATCGGTACGTCTCGCCTGCAGTGCGACACCACAATTGATGATGGTGGGCGGCACCCTCAGGGCTAGTGTCCTAGCCAATCCACCCAGGCCGCGCTGTAAACCGGTTGCCTGTTGGGGTGGAATCAGACTTCCGCTCGCGACGTTAAACCGTGCGAGTACTTCGCGAGAAAAATAACGGAAAGGTGCGTTACCTGCGGAGCCCCCAAAGGGACCCCGAGTGCGCGTTTCATCCAGCCCTCATCCTCGCACGCGTGTCAAGGCAAGGCCGAGGCGTGCCCAGATAGTTCCAAGCATCGCGACCTTCAGATAGTCCATGGCCATGTTGCAGCTGATGATGTTATGCTGCGTACCGTTGGATATTGTCGCGTCCGTGGGGGGTGCGACTGAGTGTCTGGTTTGACGCGGCCGTCAGCTTGCGAATGCGCATCGGTTCCTGGGTCGTGCGTGGCGTGTGGCCACGCGGTGGGGAAGATGGAGGTGCAGGACTGTAAGTTCCCAAATGGTTCGGGAGCATTGAGAGTGCAATGGCTAAGAGCCAGCGCAGTCGGGTACTCCACTGCGTCGTGGTAAGTTGTTATGTACATAACAACCGATGTTGGAGGCAGCCTTATGAAGATGTAGCCAGCTCCGCTACCAAGCGAAAAATAATGGCACAGAACTTGACCTTGAAGTAATCAGCTGAGAACCCTACTCTTAGGATAACGTCGGCGACGGATCGAAGTATCCCACAACTCACGCATTGATGGCAAACCAGACTAGAGGTAAAAGAGGAGCCATGGGATCGGGAAGTGGATCATAGAAGGGAGTGGCCTTTTGTCCGATGCTATGATCCGCAAATCGAGTCACACAGTCGTGCAATTGGCAAATCGGACAGCGCTGCCTTGAGCCAAGACAGCGTCGGACATAGCTTTCGCTATACAGTCTCACCTTAAACCTCGTTTAAAGTGAACGGCCCAAGGAGCCTCCAAAACAGCCCCAAGAGGGCTCCAAAATGGCCCAAGAGGCCACCAAGACGGCGCTGGAGCATCCCAACAGGGCCCCACGTCGGCCCAGAGACGCCGCCCCAAACGGCTTCCGACGGCGTCAAACGGGCCAGGAATGCCGGCCAACAAAGCCCCCGAGAAGCACCGAAAAGCTCCCAAGAGGCCCAAGGAGGCCCCCAAGTTACCTCCAAGAGGCTCCTAGGGAACTCCCAGGAAGCCCCAAGATTACACTCAGAGGCTCCCAAGATGCCCCTCCTTCTCCTCCTCCTGCTTCTGATCTTTCACGCCATCCTCCCCCAAGTGTTGCCCGAAGGGTTTCCACAACGGTTGGGGGAACACATGGTCCGATAGGCCACATGGGCGATTCCAAACGGCAGGGGGCGGCGGTGATTCGCCGTAGGCGTCTCGGATAAGATGAAATGGGACAACGTATGTACGATTGCTGGGGACGTCACGCACACGTACGCGGCAATGCTCGAAGTCGGCGCTGTTCGCAATGGGGGAGACAGGGAACAAAAGGGTCTTGGGACCCCTTCCAGGCCCCCCCTAAGTCCGACCAGAATCGAAACGTTCACTCCCACACGCCGACCGCAACACATTTCAAGATGGCAAGAATCGACCAACACGTCGGCATGCGCCCACAGACCTTGTTTGTCAGCGGAGGCAGACACGGTCCGAGCTGGCGAAGTGGATGCGGGGCGCGCGCACAAATCGAAGCCCATGCAGGAGCGAGCCGCAGAAGAGGCCGCCGCAGAGGCAGGAGACGAGGCAGCCGCAGAGGCAGGATGAGAAACAGGA